ATACTTTTGATATATCTTCATCTTCAGAAGTTTTTGTATAAATAATTGGTTTAATTTTTTTATCTACTATTCCCTTTACATAAAAACAAAATCCTGATGGTTCATGTTTTTGATAGTTGTAATTATAAGAGTCTTTTGGATTAGGACTGCAACTATTCATTGGTTTGGTAAAGCATTCAAAATCTGCATAAACTACAAAAGGAATAGGTAGTTTTTTGTAATAATTTTTGAAATATAGCATTGTGTTTGGTTCAGGCATTTTTACAAACGCTGTTGCATTATTACTACAATATTTAATATGATTATCTAATAATTCTTCCTTTGTAAAATGACTAAAACATCTCTTACAAATAAATATTTTACCATTATGACTTGTAGTTTTTTGAGACCTTACTAACCTGTGAAAATTTTTAATAAGAGTATAATGTGAGGCACCATCTTCTTCGTACAAAAATAAATCAATAGTATTTTTACAATCTCTCTTTGCCTCTCTCAAAGGATAAATAACCATTTTACCATCTTCAGAAAAAACATTTATTCCTGAAATATCTGGATTAAGTTTTTCAAATTGAGTGATATTATTTACTTTCATTGGAAAAGTAATTCCTTTAGTGTTAAGTGAAAACTCATACTTTTTTAAATCGTTTATTCTTTCTTCATCTCTATCTCTTGGATGAAGATATCTAAGTATACACCAAAGAAAGCATTTGTCATCTTTATTTTTAAGATTAACAATTGCTTTTTTATTTTTTATCCAAGAAGGAAGATCAATATAAGATGAACCCTTAGTTGGGTTAAACTCAACAGTATGAATTTCAAATTTTACAACTTCTTTAAAAACCCAATTACTTGCTTTTTCTGAATACATTTCCATTCTTGCTAAAATATTTTCTTTACTATTAAATATTAAATTTTCAACATTACTTGATTCTAGATTAGTAAATGTTGGTGAATTAAAATAAGCCTTATCTTCTTGTATATTAAAAAGACCATTATTTTTATCTACTTCATGTTTTTCCATCACGCAAACTAAAACTAACTTAAATTTTATATTTCTATGATAAGTAAAAAAATCAACTAAAGTTTCATTTATACGATCAAAAAAATCAATTGGACCAAGACCAAAAATTCCTTCAATTATATATTTATTTGCAAAACCTGCAAGAGATGATTTTTCTTTTACAAGACCTTGGCCATATTCTCTCATTGCTTGTTCAAGAGCTTTTCTTAAATAGTCCGGAGTATCTCTAGGTATTTCTTTATTTTTTATACATTCCTCAAAATAATCATCAAATGTTTTTATCTTTTTCTTTTTAGAGGTAACTTTCTTTTTCTTATATTTCTTCTTTATATCTACTCCTTTTTTTACTTTTTCATTAAGCTTATCAAGTCTTCTTATATCTCTAATTAATTTTTCTTTTTCACTTAATTCTTTATAACTTTTCTTTATTGTTTTTTTCTTTTGATTTAATATATATCTTAATTGTTCAAGAGATAAACTTTTATATTCATTATCTGTTATAAAGGGTTGAGAACCCTGAAAACCATTAAGCGATTGGTTAGACATGACGTCTTTTAATAAGTAATTATATTAAAAGACGTAAACTTTTAATTTTCAATTTTATTTATTCCTCTTACGTTATAAGTTTAGAAATCATCATAATCACTATAACTATCTGGTAAATTATTAATAATCTTTATTATATCATATTCAAAATCACTATCACTATCGCTATCACTATATATATCACTATCACTATCTTCGTTTTTTATTTGATTATAAATTTTTTTAAATATATCATAGAATTCTATAAAACCAGGATAAGGTCTACCATCACCATAATTACCATAAACAAAAGCATCATAAAGTAGTTTATATAATTCAAAATTTTTATTAACAAGTTTTAAATTTATAGTAATATCACTTGGTAAAATCATACCACTAATATTCTTTAATTTACCTTTTTCTTGTCCTCTAAGAAAATCTTTCATAATATTCTTAATTCTAACAACTGTTTTACTCTCAAATAATCCATGATTTAATGAATCCAGTTTATTAATAATATACTCAAATTCCTTATTTATTCCTCTTATAAAAAGATACTCTTTCTTATAATTTTCTGCATAATGTGGAATTTTATTATTAGCATTTTCCGTCATTTTTCCGATTAATCCCGTTTGAGGGGGGGTACTAAAACGCGCTACAGATACCATTTTGCTAACTACTGTTGAGAACCTCACTCTATCTGCATTTCTTGATGTATCAAGATAGTAAAATTCGTTTGTAGCAACACTCCTAGCGTAAGAGGGATTATACTCAAGTAAATTCTTAATATTTACTACATGATTAGCATAGTTGCAACTGTAAACATCTCTACCATTAGCTAGGATAGATAATTTTTCAATTAAACTATTTGATCCATTTACTATTCCAGCTTGTGGATTATTATTATTAAAATCATTTCCATCTAAAAGTTGAACTTTGAAATCTACTGAAAATCGCGCGTTATACCAATCAAAAGGAGTAGCTTCTCCTGTGTTATCAGCAACAAATCTATGACCTGTTTTAATTTGATGAGCATTATTTGCAGGTGTTGCTAAAGCCTGTTCAAGGTCAAAAACAACATCTTCATATCTTTCTAAATATTTTGGATTTCTAAAAGACTTCATTTTATTTTAATAATTATATAATTTTCTCTTACGTGTTGAACCTCCACTAAGAATGGCATTCACTCTTTGATTTATATCTTCTTGAGTGTTTGGGATTGTTTCAACATTTTTATTAAAAGTAACTTTTTTTGTAGGGGGTTCAACCCCCCCTTTTGATAACATTTGAACTATCTTATCACCAGCCTTTTTACCTACATGTTCACCGGTTTTTGTTGCAGCCGCTGTCATCGCTTTTTTGGCACCTCTTTTAGCAGCTTTTTTCATTGTCTTTCCAAATATTTTTTTACCAACCGATTTAAAAACATCCATCATTCCTTCTCCATAAATATGTTGTCTTGTATATCTACCCAATTCAGGGTCAAGTTTCATTTTAAACTCTGATTGTCGCATCATTTTATTTTAATAGTTATACAAAATGATTATTAGCGTAGCCAAGGGAGGGGGTCATAGGGGGAACCGTAGGTTCCCCTATTACATTGAATGGAGTATCAAAGTCATAAACCAATCTATACCATTAAAATTTACTGGTCTTCCAAGCGTGTCTGTAACATAGATTCTCATTTCATCAATGTGAAATGAAGAAACATCACAATACAAAGGTCTTTTAGGCTCAAACGTAAATGGATAAGACCTTGTGAGATCACTAGTTGGTACTACAGCAATAGTATTTGTATTTATTCCATTTACAATGCTATCAGTTATTACGCTTGTGTTGATATTTAATACATCAATCGAATTCGTGATATTTGGTAGTTTTGTTCCATACTCTGTTTTTGTAATAAGTTTCTTTTCAAATCCAATTAGGTCTCCAAATTTAGTTCCTCTCAGATCAAGTTGATAATCACCTTCAAGTGATACTAACACTCGATAGGTAGATAGTATAAAAGTTAGATTGATTGAATACTTCTTTTTTCCACTTGAATCGGTGGAGTGATGACTTTTTTGATCCATGTATTGATGAATGTAATCATTAATATCTGAGTAGGAATACATTCCATCTACAAAAGTAATTGTTTGCCAGGTTGAACCATCGTGGGTGTATTTGATTTTATTGTTGCCATAATCGCTACTAATGTTGTACCAAGAGTAAGTCATAGACAGGCGATCAAGAGCAAGTTGGTGTTTCTTATCAGAGTCAAGTTTCAAAGAAGGATTAAACTTGATAGTAAAATCACCGGGTCTGCTTGTTCCTCTTTTTTCCCTATTAATTGAGGAAATGTGTATAGCTCGTTCTTCCATTTTATCTAATGAATATATATTTATACGTGGTGTAGAGAGAGGGAGGGGGTAATAGGGGGAACCGTAGGTTCCCCTATAATATATAACTTTTTAGTAGATCATTTAGTTGTTTTTTTGAGATTACTTTCACTTGGTTGAGAAGATGTGCTATTTGAGAAAATTCGGGTATTACACCATTATTCCCAGCAAGAATTGAACCACCAAGGAATTCAAGTCTGTCTAGAAGTTGATGTGGATTGTTAAAGTAAATTATTCCAGAGCCAGATTTTTCTTTGTAATACTTAAGATCAGTTAAGTTTTTTGAATATATGCTTAACACATTAAAAGTATTTATGTTAGATAATGTTTCTTTTCGTGGATTTTCATTTATTGGTAGAGCAAAATCATAACCATTTGGGTCTCGTATAATTTGCGCTGTATTTTTTAATCTAATATTATATATATCTATATCTTCGTTAACAGTTTTGATTACTTCATCAATGGTAGAAACATCCTCTTTAAAATACTCAGAAGGTAGTTTTTTGTAATAATTATCTTTGAGTATATCTTGTGCTTCTTTATTTGTTAAATATCTATCTAGGTCTTCAGGGGTGAATTTTGCTATTTTTGGTACTTCATCTGATGTAGAGGGTAAAACTTCTTTAGCTTCTTCGTATTCTTCATCTTCTTTAGAATCTTCATCTTCTTCTTCAATCGTGTCTTCATCTTCGTCTTCGTCTTTAGGCTCTTCAATTGCTTCAAAACCTGGTAATTGAGCCAAATCCCATTTTTTTACTTCTTCAAGTTTATCAAATCCTTCAGTTATAGCAAGTCTGTTTTGATTAAGTCCTTGTGTAAGAGCAAGTTGATTAGCTTGAAGTTGCGCTATAGTTGCGTTTTGCTGCTCATCAATACTTTTTTTAATACTATCTTGGGACTTAATAAGTGGTTTAAATGTCTCTTTAAAACCTTCCCGAACATCTTGTTTTTGCCATTTTGTTGTTTTTATAACATCTCTCACCTGTTTAGTCAAAGTTTCAGCTTCAATTTTATTTCTTGCAAGTTTTTTGTATTCTTCAACATCCATTTTATTTAATGTACATATTAGATAAATGGAAATACCAAACTATGATAGTTGTGACAATCCAGATAAAAAATATAAACAATTATTTCCTTACATGCCATCAGACACATTTCGGATGTTAATCTGTGGAAATAGTGGAAGTGGTAAGACTAATCTGTTGTACCATATGTTAATCAAACCTCTACTGTACTATGATGAGATTTATCTTTACGCACGTAATTTAGAACAGGATAAGTATCAAAAGCTAATTCAAAAAATGAGGGAGTTAAGTCATAAACTGGGATATGAAATACTTCATGTTAGTAATGATGAGATAACTCCAGTGTCAGAAATGGATTACGAAGACAACCAAAAACTTGTGATATTTGATGACTACGTTTGCGATAAAAACCAGAGACAACTGATTGATTATTTCATTCAAGGCCGTCATAAGAATTGTTCGGTGGTATACCTCAGTCAATCGTTTTATAAAACACCAAAGGACATTCGTTTGAATTGTTCTCATTACTGTTTATATGAATTTCCATCATCGAGGGAGTCTAATAGAATATCATCTGAGTTAGGAGTTGACAAAGAGATATATAGGGCAGCAACAAAAAAAACCCTTTTCATTTCTATACGTTGATAAACCAAGAAAAATTATTGCTAAAAACTTTACAGATTATCTAAACAATAAATAAAATGGATCAATCTGTAGTAACAAAGAATTATCTTTATGATCTTTGCGATTACTTAAAGATAGATGGAACGGATTGTATGAAAGGAGATATTAATCTTGGTGGCAATAAGATACATAATCTTAAAGAACCACTTTCAAACTTAGACGCAGTAAATAAAGAATATGTTGATAGACTCTTTAGTCGTCTTAATGATAGAATAGATGAATTATGTAAACAATAATTAAAATGGGAATATTTAACGAACAATCTTTAGATCATCCCTTTGCTAAGGGAATACAAGGAGCACCAGGAGTTGGATTTAATCTCACTTCAAGTGGGGATTATGATATGATAAATAAAAAACTAAGAAATGTTGGTGCACCTAGTGTTAATTCTGATGCTGCTACAAAAAAGTATGTTGATGATAATTCCACTGGTACACCCTCAACATCACGACTAACAGTTGACTCAAACATTGATATGAAGAATAGATACCGAATTACAAATCTTATCACACCACAGGATTCTAAAGATCCAACAACAAAATATTACGTAGACAACACATTTCTTGACAGAGATGGATCTTACCCAATGAAAGGAAATCTAAATATGAACAACAATCGAATATTAAATCTACCAGCTCCAAATGGTGGTAATCAACCAACACCATTAGCTTTCACAGATTTGAAGTATCTCCACGTTGCTGGAACAAATAAAATGACTAATAATCTAAACATGGATAATAAAAAAATAATTAACCTTAGACCACCAACAGACTCCACAGATGGCGCAACCAAAAAGTATGTGGATGACTCAATACCTAATACTAGTTCTTTTATAAAAAAGGATGGAAGTGTAACAATGACTGGTAACCTAAATCTTGGAAACAAAAAAATAGTTGGTCTCGCTACTCCAACATCAAACACAGATGCCGCAACAAAGAAATATGTTGATGATAATAGTGGAAGTCCAGATTTAAGTGATTACTTGGAAAAAGATGGTACCGTCGCTATGACTGGAATCTTAAATCTTAACAACAATAAAATAGTTAACCTCAGTGACCCCACCACAGATCAACAAGCTGCTAATCGCGGATGGGTTCGTAAACAAATAGAAAGATTTGATCATCATTCTGGAGATGGAACAAGTAGTGTATTTACTATAACAGATCCAGCTGCGGCAACGACTTTATATTTACAATATATCTCAGGTTCATCATTTGATGATTTTGTTTTTACAACATCAGCACCTGGTCAACCTCTTGTAGGGTGGACACCAACTGCTAACACATACATTAACAAAATAGAATTTCAATTTGGTTCGCGAAATATAAATGTTGACTTTCTGTGGTTTATTCCTAGAGATGACACTCATTCCAATTCTAACTTTTGGGTAAGTGGAAATCGCACTGGCACTTGGTCATTAAATATTCACAAGTCTTGGAATTATAATATGTCAGGAGTAAAACTAAGAACCCATAACAATTCAAATCACACTGCTATCACTTGTCGGCTATTCACTGATCTACCAAAAGCAATAACCAAACCACTTAAGAGAATAGAAATCAACACACCTAAAATTGTAATAAGTGGGGTTGTAAAAGCTGATGTCAACCTTGGTGGTAATAAAATAGAGAATCTGGGTGTACCAACCCAAGACAATGAAGCAGTAAACAAAGGTTATGTCGACAATCTAGTTCATAATACTGCAGTTCAACCAAGTCATTATAAAGATGAGTTTAGTTACCTCATGTCAAGTGGATCTCAATGGACTGATGAAATAGATGGAGGAGTTAGTTTTTTTATATATAAGATAGATGAATTATCTCCTTCTAAAGGTAATTTTCATGACTATAACCACAAAGTTATTTACATGACTATAGTCAAAAATTTTGAAGGTAAATATAAATATAAGATGGGAATTAATTTTTACAGACTAACTGCAAATACTGATTACACGTTGTGTTTGGAAATACTCAACACTGATTATAATCTTTGGAATAATACTCAAATAAGTGTTGACAAAGGAACTTCAACAGGATTATCAATTGGAAATTTAGGTGTAAAAAAACTATCCCATAAGTATACTGATTCAACAGGTAAAACACAAACTATGTACTACCACAGAATAATAGTTAATTTCCGGAAGTTGTCATCTGGGAATAAGTTCTTTCTTCACATTTTGGTTGATATTCTTCAGGGTGGATATAACCTGGCTACGTATCCGAGACAGTTTTCAGGGGTTTATATGATAGCTTATGGTATTCAGGGTACATTTAGCAATATCGATCCAGATAAAGTTTACGACTATCACACCGCATTTGATATCTACCCAGGATATATGATATTCAATGTTGCCCCCATCATAAATAGTAAAAAATTAGGACATATCAGTCTTGGCCAAATAAGTGATGATAATTTTGCAACAATTAAATCAGTAAAAGAGTTAATTCCTTTAATAGAAAAAAGAAAAAAAAATTGTATGAAAAATATTTTAATGAGTTCTATGACTTTGCTGATGCGGATAGTTATGGAATAAATATAGGCTCATCTGGAGTTATTATTAATTCTTTGAAACCTAATATTACACTTCCTCCTAATAAAGACCTAAGTGAAATAACAGAAAAAGGATTACATGTTAATGGTTATAATATTACTTTTTCTCCTTCACATTCTTCGAAATCTACTTTATGTATTGTTTTTAGTCATTGGAGAAATAGGAGTTTTACCCTAACTAAATATTTATCAACAAACAATAATATTTTAGTAAAATTGGATTATAATAAATCAAACAATAAAGTAACTTTAACTGTCGACAAAACAACTCAAAATTTTACCATGCTAAGTAGTTTTAACGGAAAATTTATTGTTTTATGGCTAGCAGAAAATCGTAGTGCAAATGTCACAAAAGCTTCAATAAGTAACTACAGCGCAACATTAACTATACCAGCTGTTAATTACAATGTTAATCAACGTTGGAAGTTTACAACTGAAGATGGAGTGTTATTAAGATTAATGTACTCCACAAACTTTTACGACACTGACTCTGAGCAATTTCACAAAGTAATGCTTCAAGAAAAGTTAAGTGGAAGTTATGTAGTATAGGGGAACCTACGGTTCCCCCTATGACCCCCTCCCTTGGCTACACCGCACTAATGTAAACAAAAGAATAAATGAAAAGAAATAGTAGTAAAAGAAAGAGTATTTTTGAATTTAATCATATTGATAAATCTTTATCAGAAGAGCAAAAAGAAACTATAACAGACCTTTATAAACATTACCATAAGAAACATTGGTGTTATAAGAAATCTTATAAAAGCTATAAATTTCTAGATAATTTTTTTACTATTACTAGTTTGTCTCTTATTGCTGTAGGCACTATAACAGGAGGAGTAACATTAAATCCTATTATTCTTGGAGTAGTAAATGGAGTAGGAGTAATTGTGGCTGGAATTACAAAAAAGAAGGATTTTAAGAAGAAGATAGAAACAACAAAGCTGGCTTATACTACTTATGAGAAAGTATTAGTTGAATTAAGATCAGCACTCAGAGGAGATGAGTGGAATAAACAAGAATTTATAGATCGTATTAAGATTCTGGATGAAATGATAATAGACTTCTAACAAGTAATAACCAAGTATTTTAGCAACTTTTTTTCTTGAAACCATACTCTGCATTTTTTGTCAATGTAATAATTAAATTTTATTCCAAGTTTTTGATATTAGTACTAATATCAAAAATTAAATGTTTTTTTCAATTCTGTGAATTACTTTGTGATGATTATTAAGAGTTTTCTTACTACAAAATGCTTTTGGGCAATATTTACAAAGAATACGTACACCGCTCATATAATTATGTATAAATTTGCTGATCTTATCATAATCATTACTTAGAATAAATGCATAATCATTATTTCGATACCTCTCTTTCATCTTTAGTTGAGATTCTGATACGCAGTAATTGTTAGTTGGTGATTTGAATTCAATACAGAGACCTTTATATTCCCGGTGATAATCTAGAATCATTAGATCTGGTTGTCCTCGTTGATATCCTTTTTTATAGGAATCTAGTCTTTTTTCCTCTGTATCTTGATTTTCTCCCAATCCAGCTACTAATATTGAATCTGGATAATAATTTCTAATTAGTTGGACAACTTTGTAATGTAGATCTGTCTCATTTTCTATTTTAAACATTTTATTATTAGGGTTATCAAACATTTTGTAAAAACCATATTTTCTTATCGAAGGTAGAACTTGTGATGTTATCCAATGTTTAAACTTCTTAGCTGTTTCTAATTTGGAAGATAACAAAAGTGAGTAAAAACCTGATTCATTTACGTAAAATGATTGTTGCAAACCCCCCGTCGTTTCGACGGCCCCTTTATATTTATCCTCTTCCTCAACATGTTTTCTAATTGCTTGATTAGTGTCTTTATATCCGAGAATCTTAGCAACATCTTTCCCAAGAAACCAGACATTTTGCTTTTTATCGATAAATGATTTTAACTCAATTCCTAAATCTTCATTTTTATAACTTTTCTCAATCATGTTAGCCATTTATATTAAAAATTATATTTTTAAAGCTATAATTTAATTTTATAGTTTTCAAACATAAAATATCTAATTATAAATACATAAAATGATTAGTACAATAGTGGAATATGTGAATCTTTACTTTCCAACTTATAAAACACCATTTTATCCGGATAACTTCATAAAAGCTTGTCTAGTTTATCAGTTTTTATATACAAAGTATTTTTCACAAAACCTAAAAATAGATAAAATTATTTACAGGTTGACAACATCAAGACATTACCTAAATTCAGATTCAAATATCATTACCAATCATTTGATATTCAGTCTCGCTTTTAGAGCTTTTTGGAAACATTACAAAATTGGAAGAGGATGTGTTTACGCTATCAACACACCTTTCAAAAAATGTGAAGTACTTGGCTATCTAACTGGGATTATTTACTGGATTTTTCATAAAGGAATAATAATAGGGGAACCGTAGGTTCCCCCTATGACCCCCTCCCTTAAAAGAAATATAACCATTATATAAAAATGAGTAGTCTACTAATTATTCAAAAATATATTGATCGTATTTCAAGAGAAATTTTAAATGATACTTTTAAATTTATGTATGAAAATTATAATTTTGAAGAAAATGGAACTGAAAGTGAAGAAATGAAAGAAATACTAGCAAAAATGGTAGAATCAAGAAATAGTTTTTTAGAAAGTAATAAAAAATTAAAAAAAAATCCCATTGAAGGAATAGAAACAAGTTATCTTGAAACAAAACTAATCTACGATATACTAAAAAAAGTTTATATATTCTTTGAAGTTGATGAAGATTTATTTTACGATATTAAAGATTTTCTAGAAATTTATAAAACATTTTACACAAAAGATTATTAT